GGATGATGTTACACTTAAACCAGGCCTGGTGGCCTAGTGGTAAGAAGTTGCACTGCCAACCCAAAGTTTAAACCCACCAGCTGCTTGCTTTGTAGGAGAAAGATGAGCAACCTCCTCCCAGGCAATTTACAACCTTGTAAAACACACTGGAAGGTCAGCTTTAGTTCTAACTCAGTGCCACAAACCAATAACAGAAAGGAACCACATTGAGAGAAGCAAGCACAGAATTAGCTACCAGTAAAGTGATTTCTGGTTTCCTAGGAGGCCATGTTCCTTGTGTGCTTGGACCCTGTGTCAAAAACCTCATGGAGGAGAAAAGAAGTGTGGAAGGGCTTTGGGCACCCAACACCTGCAACACTTAACACGGCTCTACGCTGGGGCCTGGAAGCCCAAGACCTGTATACTTTGTGTTCCAATTTGCAAATATTTCTTCTCCTGCAGGCCTTGAGACTCCAAATCCTATGTGCTCTCCACACCCCATGCTGCTTCTCTAGGGAACCACACAGATGCAACTCAGCCATGAAAGCGGCACTTCCCCTCACGTGGAACATTCCTGCTACGCTATGCAGAGAGTGTAAATATAGCCTTTATAGACATGAGGCCAGGGCACTCATTCCACTCCCAGCCTAGGTGCTGCTGAGTTAGTATTGGCCTGGTCACTGGGCAGAGCTGCCCTTTCAGAAGGGGAGCCAAGTAAAATAGTGCTTGGGCACTCTGCACTGAGCCAAAGGGAGCGCTCTGCTCACTGCCCATTGAAAATTCAGTTTCATTGACAAAAGATTTCCATTCTTTACTTCAATATATCTTCATGCCCTTCTCTCCTTAAGTTCTGAATTTTTAATATGTTGGACACATCTATTAGTAAATAGCCTTGAAATTATTTCATCTTTTGGGAATTTAAAAGCAAAACAATAACAGCTTCAACAAATATAAACGTGTGTGTGTGTGTGTGTGTGTGTGTGTGTGTGTTGTGTGCGTGCACGTGTGCATGCACGTTCATGCAACTTTCTAACCATCAGCCTTAACCTATCAGAGGAAGGGACAAGAAACAGTCTTCACTGAGCACCTGTTCTGGCCAGTCTCCATGCTGGGTGCTCTCATGCATTAGAGCCTCAGAATAAGTGGGGTCTCCCCACTTTACAGAAAATGAAATTATGATTCATTTAGTAACTTGCCCAAAGGCTTACTCTAAATAGGTGATGCTGCCAAGATTTAAACCAAGAGCTCCTGACTACACATTTGGGTCTTTTCCCAGGCCCACACTTCCCTCAACCAGATATTCTTTAATCAAAACCAGATATATCAACTAGCACTCTATAACTGTGGTATGAACATGTAGCAGCTTTGTTTCTCATCAAAATATAGGGTATTCTGACTCAGCCATCTTAGTTGATGCTACGTGGTCATTTTGCTGCTGCCATCTTGTCAATAATAACTATTTTTCTGACAAATTATCATCCAACATTTATGTTCCTGGCCTTTACTACCCGTGCCTTTAATGTAAGAAAGGGGACTATGTTTGAACACATGAGCTTTGGTAGAGGTCTACTAAGAGTTCTTCAGGGGGACATGTGTTTGGAAATGAGGCTCTTGATGAAGGTAAATGGGTCCTAAGGGTTATTTGAACTGACATAGAGACTTGTTTTTAAAAACAGAACATACTGAACTTTTCTGTACTACTTACTGCTACATTATACATCTACTACTTGACCCTGGAAAACATGTCATGCCTGAAAACCTTACAGGAAAGAATTGTCAGCTTTGCCTTAAAAGAAGACATTTCCCTACATCATAAAGATATAAAATCAGTAGGGAAAAAAAATACACAAAAGATACTAACAGGTAAATATAAAAAATAAATTATCAACAATAAATTTAAAACTATACAACCTTGACAAAGAACTCTAAATATTTTTAACCTGGCAAATACTAAAAATAATTCTCTAGACAGAGAGAGATGTCAGTCAGGGACCCCATCCTTGAACTCATGCTGGTTGGGAAAAGGGAAGAGAGTTCTGGAGCATGGACCACCCACGCTCACATACAGAATCAGATCCTCACTAGTATCACTGATGTCTCTGTGCTGCAGATTCCTCATCTGTAAAATGCCAATATTACGACTTATGTTGTCACAGTGTCAGGATGATTAGGCTTTTTGATGGAGCTTATAACAGGATCTGACACACACAGTAAGTGTTCTACTATTGTTATTTTATTAGCATCAGTATCACTTGAAGGAACTCTGGTAGTGTAGTGATCAAGTACATAGCTGTTCACTGTTAATTCCAAGGTTTGAACACGCCAGCCTTTCCTCTGGAGAGAAGCCCTGGTAATTTGCTGATATAAAGGTTTCAGCCTAGGTAACCCTATGGGTCAGTTAGAGCTAGCCTACAGGGTCACAATGAGTTGGAATCAAGAGCACACAATTTCTACACAAAAAGAACTTTCTAAGAACTAGGGTTGGTTTTATTTGTTTGTTTTGGGGGTTTTTTGTTTTGTTTTGTTTTAGAACTAGGGTTATTTTAACCTAGGAATTGGGATCCGTTTGCCTTCTGAAAATCTATTCAACATTTTGTGAATCTGCATTTTTCTGGTAGAGGGTCTAGAGCTTTCTGTGACTTTTCAATGAGACTGATAAACCTAGTATGTTTTTTAAATGTCCCCCTTTTAAAAAGACTCCTTTGGAGAGAGGAGCAAACGGGGGGCGGGGTTTGAGGTGGGGTGGGCAGGGAAAAGGGTGCAACAATGAATGAATGGAATTAAAAAAAAAAAAAAAGAAAAAGAAAAGCCCAACCCTAAAAAAAAGAAAGAAAAAAGAAGAAGAAGAACCTTGGCTGGTACAGCCCTTCGGAGGAATAGAAGGAAATACATACTTGTTGAGATTTAAAAAAAAAAAAAAATCCTTAATTTTTTTTAGATTTTTTTCCCATTAATGAGTATCACTTTGTGGGGATTCTTAACATTCTTAGTGATACTTTATGATTCGTTTATGGTGTGATGAAAAATAATATTTTGTGAAGGTATTTTCTATTAATTATGAATTTACTAATAAAGAGTATCCTTGAACTTAAAAAAAAAGACTCCTTTGGAAATGTCACAGGTAAAGCTGAATCATTGAGTGCACTCACAACAGCAGCTCAGGCTGGGAGCTTACCCCTTCCCAAAGGCCTCCACATTCTTTCTCTACACAAGGCCTTTTCCAAGGCAGTCTTCGCATCTGATGATCCACAAAGAGCCTCTCTGAGGGCTCTGCAGCAGCAGGTCTGGCAGCTTGTTTCCAGGGGACATTATTTTGCAGGTATGGGCTGTATCTTCAGTCATCAGCTTCTGTATCAAGGAACTTGTTCTGTGCTCTGACTTGGTCAAAAGCTGGGAGACCTCCCACACCCACTAGCATGCTCTGCTCCAGCTGTTGGGGACAGACTCCCATTCTCTGATGTGTTCCCTGGGGCTTTGGCTGAATACAACTGAAACCTTTTTCTTCTTAATGAATGTTCCTTCTGGAGGTGGGGCCTTCCCTTCTTCAGGGAGGATCCTGAAGGGAGCAGGGAATAGAAAGTGGTATCGAACAAAGAAGGATGTTTGTGGTACATCTACCACAGAGTAAGTGCTGGAGGTCCTGCTCCATATGCTGGGACCTGAGGGCCGGCTAAGTGGTGAGTGGACAGAATGAACGAGAAGTATCTTCCTGGGCTGTCAGTGGTAAGCACCCACACCAGCCTTCCTGCTCAGTGTCATCCTGGGCACTAGGGATAGAGTGCTGACCAACCCAGTTCCTGCCATCCCACCAGGTTCTAGGTGGTGTCTTGGTTAACTAGTACTGCTGTACCCGAAATAAGTGGATGGATATAACAAACACAGTTTCCCGCCCCCCCCCCCCGCCCCCAGTTTATAAGGCTAACAATCCAAATTGATGGTATCAGCTGTAGGGGAAAGTTAGTTCTCTGTATTGGCCCTGCAGGAATGACCTTATTTCTTTTCCACAGTCACTGGTTCTCTCCATGTGTCTTGGCATCAATCTTGCCCTAGGGCTACAAAGTTCTCAAAGAATGTGCTCCATTCCTGACTCTTCTTTCTTGGTAGTATCTGAGGTGCCTCCCCATCAGATTGTTCCTCTCCCCCCCTAATCTCTATTAAGATTAAAGATAATGCTGGTCACACCCCACAAAAACCCTTCTTACAACTGGCTGATCACATCACACAGCTGTTAAGCCACCGAGAACCATGGCTTAGATAAGTTGATAAATACCTTTAGGGTACACAATCCATGGCAGTGAGACTCACCAGATACAGACTGAAGGTGTCAGAAAAAGTTCCCCTGAGATGCCTAGTAAAGACCAAACCCCCAAATCTTTCTAGTTGAACTATCATGTGTGGATGATCAGAACCTGCACAAGCCAGGAAAGTTTGAAAAGTTTAATCTAAACACCCTGCCACAGGAAGAGAACATTCCCCTGCCCCTTGCCCAGGAAGGGAAGTGGCAAAATTCCACAGCAAATTCAAGGTGCTGGAAGGCAGGTGGGGCCAGTTCTTCTCTCACTCAACATCAGAGCAGTCTTTAATGCCCTGGACTTCTGCTGCCCAGAATACCTCCCCAGGGGCAAAGACTAAATGAAATAGTTGTTAGATGAGAGTACAAATTAAGAAGGAACAAAATGGGATTTTCTTAGCACTTTTGATGTATTTGGCTTGAGAATATTTTAAAAAGCAACTGAAGCAAAAAGTATAAATGATTAGATCTTGAACATCTTCTAAAGGTTCCTCAGATCAAGGACTTTTACAGTTTGAGGGAGAAGTTGGTCTGTTTGGACAGTGCTAACTGAAGTTGGTACCTTCCTGCTGATGTGAAGGCACTGGAAGAGGGACTTGTAAAGATATAACCTGACAGAGGTTGTATCTACTTTGAGTGTATCTGAGGATAAGGGGTGAAGGGCACTGTGGCAAAGGGACCAAGCAGTGGGCAATAGGAAGATCTGATCTATGCTAGTCTGTGTCCCTAGGGCCATGGAGAGACTGTCTGCAGGCCCTGGAGGATGGCCATGACACCAGCTCCATCTACCTGGTGAAGCCAGAGAACAACAATCGCCTCATGCAGGTGTGGTGCGACCAGAGACATGACCCTGGAGGCTGGACTGTCATCCAGAGGCGGCTGGATGGCTCTGTCAACTTCTTCAGGAACTGGGAAACATATAAGGTGAGAACTGGGAGAGCTGGTCTGTGCTGCCCACAAAATAGTTAGCATACGCCATAAGAGACCTGACTAACCAGCAAAAGGGCCACTGGCAGAAAGGTGCACATGGTCATGGCCTGCACAGCCCCACATGTTAAATACTTGAATAAAGAATGTCAGTGATAGGGCTGTTTGTGCAAATCCAGCAGGGAAACTGAAAACCAGCTCCAGGCCTACTCACTACTTGTAGCCACTGCAGGATGATGAGAGTTAGGACTTTAGACCACAAAAGGCCACGGGACAAGTAAGATTTCAGAAATGCCAAGCAGTGTGTTCCCTCACTTTAATGGGCATATGGATGGCACCTTATTCTGAGCTGCAGTTTCCATGGGGAGAGAGGAGAAAAATGGTCTGGTATATTCCTGAAGCCCAAAAGATCTTGGGAGAACGTCCCAGTGAGGCTAAGCAGAGAACTGAAGCCAGACTGAGATCCTGGGTTGATTCTCTGGATACCCTCATTCCCAGGGAACTAAAATGCTCATCCTTGTAGTAGAAAAGACTTCCAGGATTCACTGAGACATCTTTTCCTACTTCTGAACCAAGAAGTGATCCTCAGGACAGTGAGGACAGTAGAAAGTAGCAAGGTGGTGAATAAGACTGCAGTCATCATTATACAGCCCACCTTCAGTCGTGATGCCTCCAGCACATGGCTCTATCAGGCCTCTTCTTCGGTCTCATTTGCCTGGTTACCATCCAGCAAACCTCTGGCCCAGCCTGTGTCCTTCTTTCTTTTCTCTTAATACATAAATTCCTGCAGGTTCAGTCCTTGGCCATTTCTTCTTCCTCTGTCATGTTCTCTTTCTTAGAAGTAGTAGAATACAATGGTTAAGATTGAGTTGTTGGTTCAAATGCTGGCCCACTACTAACAATCTGCAATCCTCGGCTTCTCTGTGTCTTAATTTATCCATTCTAGGGAGAATGATAATAGTACTTTGCTTTTAAGATTTGATATGAAGATTAATAAATTATTCTTCATAAATTTCTTATAATAATACTAGTACAGTATAGATACTAATAAACAACAAATATTATAAATTTATTTATTAATTTTCAATATCCCCCCAAAACTACATATGCAAACAGTAATAAAAACAACTGCATATTAGATCAAGAGAAGAGCCCTGCTGGAGGCAGCACACTAATGTCACAGCTCACACCTATCTGGTGCTTTAGACTTTATATATGACCCACACACACAGTCCTGTTAGGTTGATGCTGGCTCTGATCCCCAAAAAAGAAAACTGAAGTTCAGAGAAAGTAAGGAACTTTCCAAGCAACACTGGTTGCATGCCTATTGTGTGCTGCTGCTGCTGCTGCTGTTATGTACATTGAAACCAACCTACAGCAGACCCTCCAGTGGGTTTCTAGAGGCAGTAAAGTGCAGGTTAGGAGAACTCCCATCTTTCTCCCATGGAGCAGCTGGTGAACCCAAACAGTGTGCCTTTCGGTGACAATGCAGCTCCTTACAACTAGGCCACCAGGCTCCCTATTATGTGCCCTCAAGAAGCTGCACTGAAATCCCAAAGGGCATGTAGTTTGAGGCCACCAGCTGCTCCGCAGGAGGAGGATGGGTAGTCAGTCTCCTCCTGTGTAATTAACTGTCTCTGAAAACTTGCTGGAGGGTCAGCGATGGGTTGGCTCCAACTCAAAGGTACACAACAACAACAAGGTGTTCTCACAGCAATTTGCAGGGAAGGCAATACAGCATTTCCTACGCTACAGTGAAGAACTGGTGATCACACAATGCCTCACACAGAGTCAACACTATTTTAAAGGCTTCTGAATGAATACATAAAACCAGAAAGCTGAATTGACACTACCGAGATGCAGTTAGCACAGGGGTCGGGGTAAGGATTTAAACTTTAATGTGCTGCCTGATTGGCTTTGTGCTCTGTTTGCTTTATGGTCCCTCTGTCCAGGGTCGAGCAGCCAGAAGTTGGCCCCTGCTGCTCGTGGACACTGCAGTTTTCACACTAATGCTCTCCGGGTTTTCCCTAGCAAGGGTTTGGGAACATTGATGGTGAATACTGGCTGGGCCTGGAGAACATCTACTGGCTGACAAACCAAGGCAACTATAAACTGCTGGTGACCATGGAGGACTGGTCTGGCCGCAAGGTCTTTGCTGAATATGCAAGTTTCCGCCTGGAGCCCGAGAGTGAGTACTACAAGCTGCGACTGGGACGCTACAATGGCAATGCTGGTGACTCCTTCACTTGGCACAATGGCAAGCAGTTCACCACCCTGGACAGAGACCATGATGTCTACACAGGTAGGACCAATGGACTCCAGTCCAAATGTGGGGGCTGGGGGCGGAGGGAAAGTCAGCCAAAGCTAACGCTCCTAGACCCAGAGGCTGGAAAACAGGAAGACCACAGGTCAAAGCAAGCTCTCTGAGACTTCTTCCCAATCCCTCAAGGTCCCTTCCTCTGCCCACTGGCCTCAAGTGACACAGATCTCATTTATAAAGCAGGGTTAGAGTGGCATTTAAAGAAGGAAGTATACAAATAACACACATAAGGGTCACTCAGGGCCAAGTCAAATGCTGTGTGGAGTCACACATTCATAACACCTCTCTATTCGAGGCCCCTGGGTCAGACTACATAATCCCATGACCAGGGTACTGAGTGCCAATGGTGGCCCCACCTCATGGCAGTAGTGTCCTTGGGCATGCCACTTAATCCCTCTGGGCTCACCTGGAACTGAGGCTGATACCTACCTTTGGGTGATGAGAAGATTAGCGAGAACTTATCTAAAGTGCTTAGTCTGGCATTTGGCATATATACAAGTGAGCTGTCATTATGGTTACTGTTAAAGCATATAAAACCAATACAATGCTGTACAGAAGCTCTTGAGAGGAAAGAGTTTAGAGAAAGAAAATTATTTGGCCATGATCACATGCCACAAAGTCAGGTCTCTACTAAGTATGCCTAAGTAGTAAAGAGCAGAGTATTACAAGAAACAGGGATGCAGTTGGGCCCTGAGTCCAGGCATCAGAGCCTCCACAAAAAAGGTGTCTCAAAACCCCACATTCAGTTTCTTCACAGGAGTAATTCTGGGCTCTAATAGGCTACTGAAGTCTGCCAGACCCTGAGGCTGGTGCCATCTGACCACTGGCATCACCTCCTGACCAAGGCTAAGTCTGTTCTCACAGGCTGAGTTCTCATAGACTATCTCAGCTTGTTCCAGCTCCAACTTTTTACTCAGTCATTGTCTCATGTTCACTTTCTCCCCTTTAGGGGTGAAGAACTACCCTGTCTTTACTCCAAGATCTCAAAGTAGCCATCTTAAGCAGATAGCTCTCATGTCTACCACCACCACTGACCAGAGAGCTGACCTTGTTTGAAGTCGCCCATAAAGAAAAGCAAGTCTTTTCTTTCAAGTAGGTTATCTTCTTAGGTAGGGCTGCCAGGACTTCCAGAAAAGCAGGACAGGAAGATGACTATGCAGAGCAGAGCTAGTAATATTCTGGGGATCTAGGAACACATTTTGGGGGATAATGATATGAACGATGGAAAAGATTCTTCTATGACCCAAAATGTGGTTCTTTCCATGAGAAAAACCAGTGGATGGTGAAGTGAGTTCCTTGTCCCTTGATGTGTCTGGGCAGAGGCTCCTCATAGTGCCCTCTTAGCCTGGAAAAGGCTTCCATGTGGCAAATGAGAGGCTGACTGTGACGAGTTCAAAGTTCTTTGTTTTGTAATTCTAATATTGCTGTTGGTCCTCATGATCCCAGGCTGTACACATTAAGGAGTTCCAAAAAAGCTTCAGGAAAACCAGAGCTTCTGGGTAACTGGGCTTGTGATTCTCCTCCTCCGAAAGGAGAAATCCCTCAGCCTGCCTACTCCTCACATCATCCCAAGGCCTCAGGGCCACCATCAGATCCAGCCACTTCATTAGACCAATTATTATTGGGCCTTCCAATCACAAACTGACCAAAGTGCCCATCTTCCTGGTAGGAAGGTCTCTCTTGGGCTTGTAAGGAAACCGGGGGCTTCCCACCATCAACCAAGAAGAGCCCAAACTGACAGTGGCTCTCCTTCCTGTGAAGTGCGATGCCCCTACATGCCTGCTTGCACTTTGCCCCATTTTGTATTGTTGTTCTACTTACTTGCCCTTGGCATGAAAAAATTAGCATGATAGGATAGTGCCAAAATTTTTGTGGCAATATTTTTCTTTTGTGAAATTAAATAAGGGTTATTTGAATCGAATACAGGTTGGAGAGGAACAGAGAAGTATTTAATCTTAAATACTTCCTTTGTCATTCTACAAAGACTCTTATTCTAACAATTTCAACTCTTAAAATGTATCCAAGAAAAATGATCTTCTTTCTCCCCTGCTCACTTCAGGTCATTTTCATTTTCTGTTAAAATGTGCCTTCCATGCACCAGGCTTTGAGCTTCATACTTAAATATGTGACCTTATTTCTTCATTTCTCACAGCAGGTCTGTGTGGTAGGAATTCTTCTTTTCTGCATTTTACAGATAAGAATACAGTGCTGTGGAGAGGTTAAGTAACTTGCCTAAGATCACACAGCTAATTAATTACAAAGCTGAGAATCAAAGGCAGGTCAGAGTGGACACTCTCAGTGACTGACCCATTTCTCAAGCATTCTTGGTCCAAATTCTTTCTGGAGACAGTTCTGCTATAGTTACTGAACAAATTTACGTGGGTTAAACTGCCTCCTCCTGGCTCACTCCCTTCTCTCCTGCAGGAAACTGTGCCCATTACCAGAAGGGTGGCTGGTGGTATAATGCGTGTGCCCACTCCAACCTCAATGGTGTCTGGTACCGTGGGGGCCATTACCGGAGCCGCTACCAGGATGGCGTCTACTGGGCTGAATTCCGAGGAGGCTCCTACTCGCTGAAGAAAGTGGTGATGATGATCCGACCCAACCCCAACACCTTCCACTAAAGCCAGCACCTCCTCCTGACCTCTCGTGGCCATTGCCAGGAGCCCATCCCAGCCATGGTGACCCTAGCAAACAGAGCAACTCACTAGTGCAGCTTGAGGCTGGGAGAACTGGGATACTGGATTCTATTTTCCAAAGTCACTGAGGCAGATAATGGAAGTGAAACAAGACACTATTCTCTGACCCTTCTACTTTTCTTCATACCAGACAGCCCCTAATGTTTCCAGGACAGGACAGGACTACAGACAAATTTTCTTTACATAAAGTTCCCACCTCCACAGGGAAAACACAACCACAAAATACCTTCACAAGATATGTGTATTTGAGCCAATCTTGTGCACTTATGCATATACACATAAATAGACACATGCCTAAATATAAATATGCATTTAGATATACATTACATACTATTTCTAGATACATATATAGTTTTCCAAATAGACACATATTCGATTCTCAGATAATAGAGCTGTTAACAACAGCTTTGCTTTTAGAAGAAACACATTTCATCCATGCTGTGTTACGTGGGTCTAAGAGTAGTTCACAAATTGTGAGGCTTACTTCAAAGAATAATCCTTGGCATCTGTAGGCCTGGATTCTTACAGGAATGTCTACAATGCTACCCTCTTACAAAGTTCCACAAGAGGGTATCCCTTAAATTTAAAAATCTACTTTCTCCATTCTTGAAACTTTTTTATCTGCTCACCTATTCATTCAACAGTCATTCAGGAAACGTCTCCTGTGTTATCAATCCCTAGACACTCCCTGTATTTCAAATCACCTTTTCTTTTCCCTCTACTTTTCACCTGCCCATTCCATATCTCTTCCATTTCAGAGGCTTTGCATCCAGGTAAGATTCCTTATTCTGTGAGTAGGAAATAATCTGAGCTCTAGGTTTCTGGTCAGGAAAGAGAAGGCCAGGCTCAAAAGCCAACCATTGGCCATATAACTAATGTACTCACAATTTTGTATTTTTCATTCACACTTTAGCCTACATGTCATTTGTAACCTTCACAAAAATAATAATCTACCTTGTCCCAGAAAGATTCCATTGAAAAGAAGTTATCATCTGTTCTTCAGGAACCCCAAACAACTACAGGCCAAAGGTCCTATGCTCTCAGGCTGACTTGAAAGTCAAACTATACTTCGCTGCAGAACAAGTGCCACCAAAAATGAGAACTGGCCAATTCTCATGAGTTACTGAACAGTCAGGGGCCACCAGACCTTTCAGTTGGTACCTGCAGTGTGGTGGCTTTCTGAGTCCTGTCGGCCATGAACTATCAGACTTGGCACTACCGGGACTTTTGCCATGAAGGGAGAGAGGGTATGAGTCAAGAAGACAAGACCCTCCCCAGTAGGCACATGGGTCGGGTGTGCGAGATATCTGGGTATGTGCCTATTACCTCAGCATTTTCAAAAAGTGTACCGTGTAGCATGTCTTGTGTATATAAAAGGGAGGTGTTTTGTTTTGGTTTTTTAATATATTCCCAGATTATCTTTGTAATGACACAAATCTGCAATAAAAGCCATCAGTGCTATTTGGATGTATCTGCACCATGTATTACTGCTTCAGAATGCCTTTCTGTGCCCTTTCATATCAGGACCTGTTTTAAAGTAGGATAAAGAAGAGGTTCCATATCTGAGACACCCACCAAACCTGTTTTAATCACATTTTCTCTGTCTTTGGTTTCTATCTAAGCCTACAAGAGCCCCATGATTCTATATGTAGATTGAGATGGCTCTCTGGAGCTTAATTTCCTATATGCCATTGTGTCCTGACTAGATGTCCAAAAAGCACCTCAATGGTAATACAAGCAACACTGGGAATACCTTCCCTGGGACTGCTCCTCCTCCTGAACTTCCCAATCTATCAAATGGTACCATCTAATAAATTTCTTAGATAAAAAACAAGGACTTCCTTTTCCTCACCAAAGTCAATCCATCTTTCCATTCTTGGCCAAATTCTCTTAGTGTCCCTCTACATATCATCGGCCCTAAAGTACTGCACAGGCTTCCATCCAGGTCCACACTAACCAACATAATTGTCTTCATGTAAAACAAATCTAATTTGTAATGGGCACAAGTTTCTAATCATGATAGACAATCCAAAAGCCATAAGGAAGACCAAAAGATGTGACTAAACAAAACCCCAAGATTTTTTTCTCGCCAAAGAACAAAACACAGTAAGGTATAGTCAAAATTTAAAGGGAAATATCAAACCAGTGAAAAATATGTATAACAAAGATGATATATACAGGATTAATATTCATGTTCTTGCAAAATGTTTTTGTCAAATTAAGGAGAAAAAAGCAAACACCTTGACCACTCAACTACAGTGGCTAAGGAAAAAAAATACGGAAAGAAAAATACCAAATGTTGGAGAGGATGTAAGGAAACTAGAACCTTCATCTTTCTGGTAGGAATAAAAATGATACAGATGTAGAAAATTGTCTAGTGGTTCTGTAAAAAACTAGAAATAGTTATTCCATATAGAACTTCAATGTTGTTGTTGTTATGTGCCGTCGAGTCGCCTGCGACTCATAGCGACCCTATGTACAACAGCCTTAAACTCCACTCTGTCCTGTGCCAATCGCACTGTCTCTGACACTCCCATCCCAATTATCCCAGTCACTGAATCAATCCACCTC